GTGGTGGGGGGGCCGGCGCAAGAAGCCGCACGAGTGGGTGCTCCGTGGCCTGGTCCTGCGGCACCTGGAGGGCCGGCTCTACGTGGCCCGGGGCTCGCCCGAGCCCGAGAGCTACGAGGACACCCTGTGAGTGCGGTGTTGCCCAGGACCCAGCCCTCCCGCCCGCCCTGCTCTCGCGTTCACTGTCTCTCCACCCACAGCGACCTGGAGGAAGACCCCTACTTCACGGATGGCTTCCTGGACTCTGGCCTTCAGCCCTCCACCAAGCCTCGCCCCGCGCCCGCCACCAGTCCAGACGGTAGAACCGCTGTGACCGAGATCGTCAACAGGTGGGGCAAGGTTAGGTCCTGGGGTCCCAGCGGTCTAGCTGGGAGGGAGTGGTGAGCGCGGTGGCTGAGGGCGCCCCTGCAGCCAGACCTCTGTCTCCCAGCTTCCTCTGCCTGGTCCCCGAGGAGGCCAAGACCTCGGCTCTCCTGGAGGACACGGGCTATGACACGTACGTCCACGATGCCTACGGACTGGTGAGTGCCGGCTTCTTACCCAGACCGCAGGCCAGGAGCTCCGAGCTCATCCGCTGGCCTCTGTGCGTGTGCCCTGGCCTGAGTCTGTCAGCCCTCCTGAGCCTGAGCGGCCTCCCCACACTGCCTGTCTCAGTTCCAGGAGTGCAGCTCCCGGGTTGCCTCGTGGGGCTGGCCTCTGGGTCCCGCACCCTTGGACCCCCATGAACCCGAGAGGCCTTTCTTCGAGGGGCACTTCCTCCAAGTGCTGTTTGACCGCCTGTCCCGGATTTTGGATCAGGTAGCCAGCAGCTCCAGGCCACAGACGGGGCTGTGCCTCGGCCCCTGCAGGGGGGCAAGGGCTGACCATTGGGCCACTCCTCCCCAGCTCCACGACAGCCCCCACCCCCACCATTCCCCAGGCAGGAAGCCCCGTCTTGCCTCTGCCCCACACGCCCTGACACGTTCTGGCCCCGGCCCCAGGGAATCCATGACACACACACATCACGTGAGGCTCCCGCCCCCGCACACGTTCACACCAGCCAGGTGCCTGGCTGCGGAGTGCAGCAATGCCACCACCCCTGCCACCCCTTGGCCTGTCCACTGTGTCTCCTACAGCCATACAGCCTGAACCTGCAAGTGACCTCAGTCCTGTCCCGGCTTGCCCTCTTCCCTCACCCCCACATCCACGAGTACCTCCTGGACCCCTACATCAGCCTGGCTCCTGGCTGCAGAAGTCTGTTCTCTGTGCTGGTCCGGGTGAGGACGCCTTGGCCCAGGGAGTGCGCCCAGCGGGCAGGAAAGAAGGGGAACAGGGCAGGGTGGTTGGGAGCTGGGGGCATCCTTGCCCACGCCAGCGAAATGCAGGTTCCCCCACTCGCTCCCCTCCCCCACAGTGTGGCAGATCCAGAGGACCCTGTGGGGGTGTCGCTGGTCCCCATCTTAGTCCACGCTGTCTGTCGCTCCAGGTGATCGGGGACTTGATGCAGAGAATCCAGCGGGTACCCCAGTTCCCTGGCAAGCTGCTCCTGGTGCGCAGGCAGCTGATGGGCCTCGTCCCTGGGGAGCGGTAAGTGCCAGGGGAAGCCATCTGGGAAGGAGGCGCCTCAGGCTGGGGGTGTCGGCCACCAGCTCAGTCCGGTGGAAGCTGTCCGTGCCTTCCAGCCGTGACCCTGTGCGTCTCCCTCAGGCTGGACCACCAGACCCTGCTCCAGGGCGTGGTGGTGCTGGAAGAGTTCTGCAAGGAACTGGCGGCCATTGCTTTCGTCAAGTTTCCCCCACGTGGGCCTCACCTGAACCTCTCCCCACCCCCGGGAGGGCAGGTCTGAGCCAGGAGCGTGGCGGGTGGGGGACTCCTGTCTGCACCTCGCCCAGGACCTGCCTCCGCTTGGCAGCTGCCCCCACACTCCTGCCGGGCCATTCTGGGGACCTTGGCTTGTTGACCACACCAGCCTGCCTTTTGGGTGGCCTGCGAGGTACCAGATGCCACGGAGCAAGAGGTGGCTTCCTGGTAGCAGGGTGTCCCAGGGCCTTTTCGGAGGGGCTGGGTGATGGCCAGGTGAACACTCAGACCTTCCTGTGCTGTTTGCCTGTCACTCTCTGGACTGGCTCTCTGTGGCAGGGGGCTGGAGGGGGTTGCCGACAGCTCCAGGGCTGGCCAGGAGCCCTGTCTGGGTCGCATCAGATATCAGAGGCTGCCGAGACTTGACATTTTTCCCTGCCTTCTTGGCCTGCCCCATGGAGAAGGGACAGTGCGGGGACCACAGGGGAAGCCCCTCTTCCTGTTTGGCCCTGCTGGAGACTGTTGTGAAATTCCCAACCGCCTTGTGGCAAGAGCCCAAAGCCTGCTCCGCACCCAGGCGGGGGCAGCTGCTAATGAGGACCTGGGAGCAGCTGCAGCCGGGGCGGGAGTGGGGGGCTGGTGCCAGGCTCCGGCTCCAGCTGCTTTCTCTGGCGCCTTCTGAACCCGTCTCAGCAGGTCCTCCACACCTGGGCAGAGAGGTCAGAAAGCAGGGGAGGCTGGCCCTCGCCCTCCATACTCCACCAGCGCCGGGCTCTCACCAGCCTACCCTTCCGGGGAGTGGGGCAGCTCAGGGTACAGAGGAGGGCAGGATGCGTCCCTGACTCCAGTCTCCGCGGCCTGGCGGGGAGGACCGAGGCCCAGGCAGACAGCCCTGGTGTTGTTCTCCCCATGTGCCCTCTGCGGCTGGGGCTGCCACCCCACCCGGCCCGATCTGTCTCGACCTGCAGGAGCACACGGGCGGTGCCAGGCATTACCTCACAGCGGACTGCAGTCTCTGGCTTTGCTCCTGGGCAAGGAGGAGCAGGCCAGAGCCCCTTTCGCTTCCTTTTCCTGCCCATACTGCTTCTAGAAGCGGGTGCGGGCTGCCAGGAGGTGACGTGAAAGAAGAAACTCAGCGACCTGCACTCTCCCGCACTCTTAGCAGGATTCAGCTGCTGTTCTGACGGACTCCACGTGTGTGTGCGTGCACACACGTGGGTGTTGGTGTGGACGGGGGCGAATTGGGACTTCAGCTCATGAAATGTTGGAGGGCCGGGATCACAGCCCCTCCCTGGCCCTCAGTGCACTTCGGCATTTGCACGGCGTCTTCCCCAGACGGCACAGCAATAAATCGTGTGACTGTGGACGCAGCCTGTTCTCCCTGCTCGTCCCTCTGCCCAGGGCTCCCGTGCTAATTCGGGCCCTTCTTCCTCCCTGAGGAAGACAAGTTACATTCCTTTTCCAGCAATGGAGCGGAGGGCTGAGTGCGGAGGCGGGTGGTAAACGGAGGCTGTGGCAGCCAGAGCTGATGTGCCTCTGCGCCTGCCAGGGACTGGGCTTGTTCTTGGCCGAGAGACATGATTTGTGTTCAGCTGACCTGCAGTCGCGCAGCGGCCAGCTCGGAGACACGGCAGACGGCCCGGTGCTGGCAGTGGGTACCCGTCTGTGTCTAGGCTGCTTGTCGTGTGACTTTTATTTTATATATGCATAGTAGGCACCGTGTCTAAGATTACACACACTATACATAATTTTAATGGCCAGTGGGCACATGAGCTCACCAGAGAGAGCCAGAGAGATGGAGAGAGAAAGCACCTCCCAGTGGCACGGTCACCCATCCCTCCTCAACGTCTCCATCCTGTCGGGATTTGGGGCGCGTACGCACACATACATGCCTGTAGTGATTTTCAAGCCACCAGGACCGGGATTTGAACCACAGTAAGCCATGTGGGATCCAGCTTCCGTCAGTGACGAGGCTCCGGGGCCAGCTCACACGGTTCTGGTTGTGAACGGTGGTTCTGATATCTGTCAGATGGGTGGGCCTCACTGGGGCACTGCAGGGCACCTTAGGCTCTCAGGGTGGCTTTTTGAAGCACCAGCGTCCAGCATGGCCCCTGCCTGTCGGTGGAGAGCTCTCCTAGTGCCTCATGCCCTGAGGTTGAAATCTGCCAGCTAAACTGGCAGCAAACACTCTCGACCTAAGCAGGTATGGCCCTGGGCCCCTTGGACACTGAGAAGAGCCCATTAAAAGGTTTGGTTCCTTCGCCGGGAAGAGGTTTGTCCCAAAGGGACGAGGATCGCTACCACCCTCCAGAGGCCAGACAGACGGCAGCCAAGAGGCAGGGCCAGGGGCCTGCAGCAGTCGCCTTCATAGAACGGAAGGCCGTTCGGTTTCCCTGCTCGGAATCAGAAATCTGTACCTTAGCTGCACTGATTAGCACACGCTATATGTCCTCTGCTCATTTCCTTCGGCTTCCCCTTCAATTTTGGTAAAGTTCTTTTATTGAACATCAAAACCACCCAGGCAGACTCTGCTCAAGAGATGCTGTACCCGCAGGCTGGAGGGCCGGAGGAAGATGGTTGCAGTGTAGCCAGACCGCATAGGGTGTGCGTCTGTCTGTCTCTCACGCATGCACACAGCTCTATCATGAGCAAAGAAAAACAAGAAATTTTAAAAGCCACCTCCTCCCGAGTCAGCTGGGCTGAGGGGAAGAGAAGAAAAAGCTGGGCTGCAGGCATAAAACGGCAGGCAAGGTGGGCTCAGAGCTGCACATGTGAGCAGAAGGAGACTGGGGGGGAGGCAGTATCTCCGGAGCCCCCAATGCTCATGCTGGGAGCATGTGGCACTGTCTTAGTTAGGGAGGTCCCCCACACCCCTGGCCACAGCGAGCCCTGGGGAAGGCCAGGATCTGGGCAGAGGGGAGCAGCCCCTCAATTCCTCCCAGCAGAGACACAGGCAGGAAAGGCAAGGTGAGCAACAGCCATTTACTCAGCAAGGGCCCCTCCCGCAGGACCTTCCTTGGGTCCGCGACATGTTCTAGGTGTGCCTGGGGGGGGGTCAGGGTGTAGCCTGTGCCAAGGTGGGCACTGAGAATGGTGCACAGAAGTCATCTGGGGCTCAGACAGCTCCCACACCCCCGTGGGGACGCACTGGTGTGCCTCAGGGTGGTCGCGGCTGCACGCTCCAGACCCCTGGCTTGGTGAAGGGCGCTGCCCTTCTTGGTACAACGGGCAGGCCTGCGCTACCAAGAGCGAGAGCCAGGAGGACCGTGCTGCTCCCCAACTGCCGCCCCCGCCTCTGGGTGGAGGGAGCACGGTGCGGCTGCAGCCACAACTGGCCCTTCCTATCTGTTCACGGGGACGACAGAGGACTCCTGGAGCCTCTGCAGGAGCTGGCGTTGGAGGTCTTCCTCTACCACCTTCCACCAATAGAAGTTCTCGCCCCGAATCTTCGGGGGCTCACTGTGGACACCTGCGTCCCGGAAAGCCACCGTCACCAGCACGTTCAGGCAGATGCCATCTGCGCGGTCTCTGCCCAGGTGCTGCAGTCCAAGTAAGCCCTCAGTCTCCACCGCCAAATGGTGCAGGGCCAAACACTCCTGCAGTAGCCTCAGGACAGCCACCTTCATGCCGCCCCTCTGCTCCATGGGGCTGAAGCCACAGGCGGTGACAGGCAAGTGAGGCAGTCCCACTGCGCCCACCAGCACCCACACCGACTGCACGCTGGTGAAGGTGGCCACGAGCCGCTGGCAGACCAGACTGCAGGGGAGCTCCTGCGGCAGGACACACGGGTGCCTGGCATGCTGGCGGTACTGGGCGGCTAGCTCCACCAGGTGGAGGATGTCGTGGGCCCGCAACGGAGCAGGCAGGGAGGTCCGAGGGTACCAGGCAGCCTGCAGGGACTCAGCATCCGCCTCCTTGGAAGTCTTAAGAATTCCACCTAGGGGACATGGATGACAGGGCTGGGGAGGGTATGTGCTGAGAGCAGGCCCAGTAAATGACACCCAGGCACCCTCGGCCGACCCAGGGCGAGGCTGCGAACCTCGCTGGAATCTGCCGATGCTGGGCTGGCACCAGCTCAGGTGGCTGTGGATTCAGGGGGCTCATCTCTCCCAAGGGCCACACTGGTGTGAATGAGACCATGCTGGCCCTGTCATACGTGGGCTGTACCTGTGGGGCGAGCGAGGAATGCAAAGCGGACCCAGGAGGGGCCCCGCTCCTCCAGGGACAGCAGCGTCAGGGGCTCGCAGCGCAGCCCAGCCTCCTCCTCCACCTCCCGCTGCAGCGCCTCCAAGATGGTCTCCCCGGGCTCCATTCGCCCTGCCGGCAGGTACCATGACCCCCGGCACTCCCTCTTGGCCTCCTGGATCAGCAGCACCTCATCCTGAGGGGACAGAGAGGACCCTCACCCCACTCACTGGTCTGGGCACTGCATGCTCCAGAGGCTGAGGGGCCCCTCCTGGTGGTGGGCCCAGCTGCCCAGCTCTCAGGAAGGCCACCTGGCTGGGGGCTGCAGGTCTCCCCTCTGCAACTCCAACCTGTACAGACCCAGAGATGTCCCTTTCACTAAGGGGCTGCGGCTCCTGAGGGCGGCTCCCAGGGCTGGAGACCGATCTCAGAGCAGGGGGTGCCATGTGTCCAACTGTGTCTGCACGAGTGGCTGTGTACCTGTCTGGCCATCCTCACGTGGGGCCTGGTCTTTGGAACAGACCCCCCCACACACACAGTCCCCCCACACCCTGGACATCATTGCATCAGCTAGCACAGGGACCAACACCAACAAGCGCTGACCGCAGCAGGGGCCTGGAGGGTAAGCCCGGTGGCACCCAGCTATCCATGGGGCCCAGGTCTCTGAAGGTCCGGGCAGGTTCAGGGGCGCCCACTGCGCGCCGGGCACCGAGCTGGGCTGTGTGGCAAGGACTAGACAGCCCCTCCGCATGGGGCTGAGGTCAGGTGGAAGAGGCAACCGGGCCCCTGGGCCCCAGTCTCCTCTGCATACCGGGCAGTCGCGGGGCTCCGACGCGTGTGAGTGCTTTGCAAAACTGGGGCGCGCAGGCTCGCGGGCGGCGCGGCCAG